TGATTCTTTTTTTTTTCTTTTCTTTTTTTTGCCAATTTTGCCCAACCCTAGTTCTGATGGGCCGGATGTTCATAAACGAAACACATCAAGTTGGTTTTGTGTTTTTAGTCATTTATCTTTCACTGACATCAAATGGTATGAGTGTAATTGGGGGGACTGGTCAGAAGACTTTTGGTTGCTGGTTTTTTTATTTTTTTTTCCCCCACACAGGCTGTAATTTATGTTCTAGTAATTACTCTGTCGTGCTCTGGTCTTCTGTTTGACAGGCTGAATCTTTTTTTTGTTCTAGAGCTGGGTCTTTTAAGAGTCACTTTCGCTGTTGGATTTTAAAAGAGGACATTTATGAACTTTAGTTTTTACCTCAGTGAAGGAAGGACAGTAAAAACTACCRTCTAAACTCATCTACTGCAAAAAAATGAATACTAAAGCAGGATTTAAAAACTGTGGTAAATTTTGTACATCACAAAAAAGTATAAAATATAATGATATTAATCTCATACTAATCACCTTTATGTACAGGACTGACGAATTAACAACTAGTTTGAATGCAGGTAAAATCAAAGTGGATTCTGCATTCTCCACCAAAAAAGAAAATCAAAGTGGATTGCTGTCTTCTTAAATCAGCTGCAGAATCAAACATTTATTTTCTCAGCAGTATTTTATAAACATTTACATTGCAGTTAGTTGTTAGCAACACTATAAATTTCCTGTTGAAAGTGCCTGGTGTCTTCAAATGCAGCATACATCAACAGAAGCATCTAAAGAGCGACTGCTACCAGAATATAAAGTCCCAGTTCAGAACCAATACTCCACTATTCCCCAGAGGAACAAAGATGAGATATGAACAGTGAGCAGACATGATCAGAATGATGCTGCAACCCAATGTGTTCTACTGGAAGCTCACTGTACACCAAGAGGGTCGACTAAAATTAAAACAAAACAAACAAACAAAAAAAAAACCTAAGGGGAGGAAAATCTAGAAATTACCTGAACATGAGCAAAACATAGCTGTTAAAARACGGCCCCACCTCAGTTACATAAATAACCTAGCCTGGTTAAAACCAGACCCTGTACTTCACTTTGCTTCGTACAAGAGTCTGGACTTGATGCATAGAGAAGTGATTCTTGCAGGAGGCGTGGCCTCTGCTGAAGCATGTGTGTGTTGTCGCTGTGATGGAGGCTAAGCTAAGAAGCTAACCGGAAATCGCGTATGTGATTTCCTACTGAGAGGAGAAAAGTACCGAGCTGAACGAGACGACTGTAAATGAGAGCTTCTGCTTTGTCAGACAGATTTATTTTAATTTAGAAGCCTTGTCAACACGGACTGGCTTCATTTACTTCCTCCACTGCCGTATGCTAAACTAACTAGCAGACACTGCGCAGAAAGTCGACATCGTTCAAAACTCMGCCTTCTGTTTGCTGATTGGCCCAGGTAAAGTAAACTACAAGAGACATAGCGCAGAAAACTGACGTTCTCTTCTCTGATTGGCCCGGCTAAAAATCTGCCAGTGAAATCCTTGTCAATGGGAGAAGTCTCAGACGGAGCAGTGAAGAGAAACTAGAATTGAGCGGAGCTGTGTAGGAAGGCAAGGACCAGGCTATAAATAACCAGGCACTCAGAGAAACACTAAATGTTAAAAACAGGAAGAGATGAGGAAAAAAACAAGTATTTTCATCTAGAGAGCAAAACAAATTAAATGGCCAGCTTATTTTTACTTGAAGAATCTGCAGCTCCACCTGCTGTCCCCTCCTGCACTGACAAGCCATCTCCACCACACACACACACACACACACACACACACACACACACACACACACACACACANCACACACACACACACACACACACACACACACACACACACACACACACTATTCAGAACCAGATGAAAGCTACACAGCACCAACTCCAGATCCCAGTATTCACTGAAAACATCCAAACCAACAATGACAGCATCAAAAGATACAGACTGGTAACAATTCACGTCAAGATCCACCATCCACACACGGGTACACTCGTAAATAATATCCACAAGTCAAATCAATTGGTGTGAACACATATTAGATAAGATATGGGATAAATTACAGAAACCTGTGTGCATGATGTCAACATGTCTTAAAAAATGAGCCAAAGTTTAAACGTGCCAAGTGATGGTGTAAATAGTAAAATGCCATTTCAGCCTCCCCTTGGCTGGCTGTGTTCATCTCTGGTTTCTCTCCAACAGTCTTTTCCTTTTAGACTCAGAAGAATTGTGTAAAAGCAGTTTGCATCAGTCCAAAAGTCTCTGCTCAGAGGCTGTGGTGTTTTGTATAGCTGTCACCTGCTTTTCTAGAATAAAAATCTGTTCACTTTTCTCTGTAGTGCTGAGTGACGACTAAATGTTAGTGAAACGTAATGTTATGCATATAACTACTGTTACCTGAAGGAAAGGAACAAGGTACAACATCATGTATGGGAACCCACGCTCCTGCGTGTCCTGGCTGAAGCCACCTCTTATCACGCCTTTAGGCAGGTGACGTGATGACGACAGTCAGGCTCCGCCTACACAGATAAATACTGTCGCATCACAGTCACTCCTCAGTTCGGTAACTGCTCTTCACCGAGCCCAGCTGTGCAGCGGGGCCACCATGTGCTGTACCTCGTTCCTTTCCTTCAGGGAACAGTAGTTATGTGCATAACATTACGTTCCCTTTCAGTCAATACACTCGGTACAACATCATGTATGGGACATATATAAACGCCCCGCGGAGCAGCACCAAACTTGGGTCATAATAACATGCTAGTGCAGCACATCAGACCCAGCGGAGAGCACAGAGTGAGCCACCGAAGGGGCTGTCACATCTAAGCGATAAATGTGTGCGGTGAAGACCAGCTGGCCGCAGCACAGATGTCACTCACAGGTACCCCTTCAAATAGTGCCCAGGATGCTGCTACACCCCTGGTGGAGTGAGCTCCCACACCAGATGGGACTGGGAGACCCCTGCTGCTGTAAGCTAAAGAGATAGCCTCCACAATCCAGTGGGAGAGTCTCTGTCTGGAAAGAGCCCTGCCCCTGAGTGGGTTAACAACACACACAAACAGCTGATCACATGACCTCACCTCCTGTGTGCGATCAATGTAAATATGCAGTGCACATAGAGGACACAAAGAATGTAACCTCCTCTGCACATCAGATGCAAAAGGGGAGGATAAAAACTAGAAAGCTCAATAGACACGGAGCTGTAGTTAGAAGATATCACCTTAAGGAGATACGCCACCACTGCCGGGGGAAGGCCTCTGGCTAGCAAGCAGGACCTTTCAGCAGGTAGGCGTGCAGCCTCCACAACTCTGGGTGTGGGTGAAATATCTCCCCCCTTGCCTGAGAGAGGAGATCTTGGCGAAGAGGAAGCTGCCAGGGCTGAGCAGCCAGCAGGCTGATTATCTYGGCGTACCAAGATTTCGCTGGCCAGTGGGGCGCCACCAGAATCAGAGACAGACCCTGTCTGCGCACCCTCTCCAGTACAGGCAGTATCATCTCCACTGGGGAAAATGCATACAGCAGTACATTGGGCCACGGGTGGGCTAGAGCGTCCACGCCCCAGTGGGGCGTTCTGATCCGTTATGGAAAAGAACAGAGGGCAGTGGGTGTTGGCCCTTGTGGCAAAGAGATCCACTGCTGCCCTGCCAAACATGATCCAAATCTGGTCCACCACTGAGGGATGCAGCCTCCACTCCCTCACTAGAGGCCCGCTCCTGGAGAGTAGATCTGGACCCAGATTCAGTCTCCAAGGAACATGAGTGGCCCTGATAGACAGGAAATGCACGCTGCACCACTGCAAGAGAGTGTGACACAGTTCCAACAGGGGAAGAGACCGTGTTCCCCCTGTCTGTTTATATATGACACTATAGTCGTGTTGTCTGTTCTGATCAGAACATGTTGGTTCTTCAGAACCGTATAAAAATGTTTCAGTGTTAACAGAACCGTTAACAATTCCAGGCAGTTTATGTGGAGTCTGGACTGCTTCAGAATCCGTACGACGACGAGAGAAAAGACGTGTCCTCCTGGTCCGCCTCCACAGCAGCGGGGCATCTAGACCGAGCCGGGTTCCTCGTCGTCTTTCGACAGATGAACATCCAAGCCAATATAAACGGCTAACCCCTCCTGTACTCTACTCGGTCCGCCCAGCTGGAAGCGGGGACTTTGACTGACAAACATTCCTCGTCAGACTCAGACGGAACCGGGTTACTGGACTCGGAAAGGAGTGGGTCTTTTCGTGAGACYACGGTTTCGCCCAGCACTTTTTCTAAGGACTTAACCCATCCATCCAGGGTTGAGCGACGAAGCTGGCGGCCAAACGCACATGCTTCGAGCTCCGCCAACGCTCTCTGAGTGTGAAYGACCCCCAGACAGACTGGGCAAGACTCGTGCTGGCCCCTCTCATGGAGCAAGAAGCCGCGCCCACAGGGGCGACGGACGACCTCTGCTCCTTGAGGTAATTTTGGGCTCATCCCAAACCACAAAATATTGTATTTTGTTGAAATGAAAGGCTACTCAAAGCTAGCGCTCCGCGGGCAGACACACTTACCTGTAGGCAGCGGTGGCCGACACCAACAAAAGCATCTAAGCTAACTTTAAGAGCCTTCCAACAAACAAAGCTAACTAGCAGCAGGTAACTACCTAGGTTGAAAGAGGTGGGGGTTCTAGCGAGGTGAAGAGCAATGAAACTAAGGAGTGATTGTGATGGCAACAGTATATATATACATGTGTAGGCGGAGCCTGACATCTGTCGTCATCACGTCACCTGCCTAAAGGCGTGATTAGAGGTGGCTTCARCCAGGACACGCAGGGGCATGGTTCCCATACATGATGTGTTGTACCAAGTGTATTGACTGAAAGGGAACATGAAGTTTCAAGGTTTTTCTGAAATCATAAAGTAAAAGGCAGAGTAAATACTGATGGKGGGGGGGGGGGGGGGTCTTTCCTTTTGTCTTGCTCTGTATTTGTGCAAAGGGGCCATACCTGAGTCATTGCGCAGGTAGGAGGACATGGCAGGAATGAGGCAGGACTGGCTCAGTAGCTCCTGCAGCACCGCTGGCAGAGCTGAGCTGTTCTGGGATCTGCTGTCTGCAGAGGCGCCGTCAGCGCTGTGGCAGCTGCTGGATCCTGCTGGGTTAATGTAGCTCGCTAGGACCTTTAAACAGATTAGGAAATAGAAAAATTACTTAAACATTTTAAACACGTTAAAAAGTAATGCACAATTTTTTTTTTATTTTTGCTTTTCATCTGAGATTTCTTTAATCAGTCCTTCACYGCATTAAATTACCTTGTGTGAACTTGACAAAAAAAATAGATCAAAAAATGAGTGAAACACTTGTTTTTATATGCGAACACGCACAAAGACTTAAGAACATGTATAATAATCCCAATGCTGCTGGAGCAGGATTAACTGTGTGGTAAACAAACTGCTGTGCTGATGTGTGGTGAACAGCTAGCTCTCATGTCAGCGGGTACCTGGAGCAGGCAGGTGACATGCTCTTCCTCCAGCCGCTGTTTGGTGAGAGCCTGTTCTACATCCCAACCCGAGGCTGTAGATCCAGTCCCAAAACCGGTTCCCTTAGCCCAGTACAGCTGCTGCTCCTCACTGGTCCCGGCACTGTGACAGCTGGACATTTGTGGCTGCAAACACACAAGTTAAACACAATTATATAAGGATATTTTAACTCAAACTGACCATTTGTTTCTAACCACTGTTGATTATTCATGGATACGGTTTAAATATTTTTTTTCTTACTTTAATCTTTTTGAACTACCTCAGTTTGAGGAAATAGTTTAATTCTGACCAGATTGCTGGCTAGTTTGAGCAGGAATGAAGTTAAAGTAGATCGTTATCACTTTGAAACAAATCCAATCTAAAATATGTCATGAAGGTTAATGCAAATTTATAAAATATATTTATAAAATAGCTTTATATGATTATTCTGATAGAAATATGATATCCCTACTGAAAGTGCCTCAGGTTGTTACATGTGATGAGCTACAGCGATATGTAGCATTTTATGTTGCTGCTGATGATGTTTGGGCTTGCAAGTAATCACAAAACTTATGTAAACTGCTAAGTAATCAAAGACTGATAAAAAAGTCAATACTTATAAAACAGGGAACTTTTGAAATTTTTGAGATTGCAGTTTGTTTGTTTTTTTTAAGGGCAGCAATCCACTGTGGTCTTCATTCAGATTAGCTGTTAAATCGTTGGTCATGTCAGATTTAATCCAGTCCAGGAGGATGTAATGTAAAAGGAGATTTTGGTGAGGTCATCGTGAGGGCGCTCCTCAATGAGAGACACAAAACGAATGCTATAAAAGGAGAACTCAATTTGCTTTTCTTTTAGGTTCAACAATTAAGCCGTTTGTCACGGAGTCACAGTGCAAACAGGGATGTAGGCCAGGTAAACAAAGAAAGCCTTGAGTAAAGGCCAGGAAGGTGAAGAGCCTTTAATAATGACAATCATTTCCTCTTAGTTACTTTATCAGGGCTGGCACCAGAACAATCTTTCTGGCAGACAGAGGTATGAGGCCGAGGTGAGCAGCCTGACAGTCTGCGGTGATAAGCCCCAACGTCTGAAGTTAAAAAGCTCAACAATCTGTGTRTGTGCTGCATCAGCATTCACACTGAAGAAAAGCCTCAAGTTGGATCAATAACCCCGTTCAGTCGTGGCTGGATGAAACTGGAGTCGTCATCAACCTGTGTTAGTTTATGGTCAGTAGGTTACACATCGCTGTGCTGAAGTTTTAAACCACCCCTCAGTTCTTCGTTTACTTTGTTTCCAAACAGCCATTTCAGACGTTTATTTTATTATTTTTTGTTTTCAGAAAGTGTTTCTAAGTTTTGGACTTTGGCTGATTTTCACTTAGTTTCAGTCCTTGTAGTTGATTTTTAGAGATACAGTGGTTTGCAAAAGTATTCATACCCCTTGAACTTTTCCATATTTTGTCACATTACAACCACAAACATAAATATATTTCACTGGAATTTAAAAAATACCAACATGTTTTGTATAGATGAGGCAAATTTAAATTAAGACATTTAAAGAACCATTTTTTCTCAAGCTGTACA